CCTTGCCACCCCCCTTTGCCATTCACCTCCCACCAGGGGGGTCCCTCCACCCCTCAAGCTGAGGACACAGCGCCGTTTCCTTCCCCCAGGCCAAGACTCACAGCAACATCTTCCTCCCGGAGTCGGGGGGGGGGGACCGGGGATGTCCCCTCGCTGAGGACAACGCCGTCCCCTCCCACCCGCTGCCGCCCCCCCCCACAGCCGGGGGGTGACCGAGGAGGACAGCAGCCACCGGGCGCCCCGATCCCGCGCGATGTCGGCGAAGTGGAGGGTACTGGGCAAGGCCGGCCAAAAAAAAATGATTAACTGAAACCAAAGTTATATAAATCCCGGCTTTCTAACGGTAAAATCCTTCCCTGGGAGAGCGTTAAGGCCAAAGGATTGTTACAATCCCTTTGTCGAGGACAGACAGACAGACCCAAGATGGCTCAGGTAATGAGCCCCACTGCTCCCACCCATACCCCGAGACCACTGCAGCCCCCGGGGCCCCCGGCGTCCCCATATCCGCCCCCCCCATCTCCACCGCCGCCCACCCATTAGCGATTAGGTCCTCGGTTAATTGATCTGCACTTTGGGCGGGCTCGGGCTGCAGCGGGACGGCTTCTGCAGCTCGCCGGCCTCGTGTGTTGTTCTGCTTTCTTTTCTATCCCTCCCCACCCCCTCGTCGTCGTCCCCCCCCCAAATCCAGGCGAGCCTGCTGGCGTGCGAGGGGCTCTCCGGCGTCTGCCTGGTGCCCACGGTGGCCAGCAAGAAGATGATGCCGAAGCAGAGCTCAAAGCAGGCGGAGGGCAGGGAAAGGGGCAGCAGCCCCGACGTGCTGGTATGGCGTGGGGGGAGCGGGTCGGGTGCTGTGACCCCCTGGAGGAATTGGGGGGCGAGGGGGGGGAGGGGGGCAGCTCACTGTGGGGTTTTGGTTTTGCGTGCCAAGGCACTGCGTCAGGATGGGGAGAAATCCCGCAGCCGAAAGGAGGAGGAGACGGCGGAGGCATCGCAGCCCAAAAAGTCCATTAAGAAGGCAGGTTGGGGTTGGAGTTGGGGTTGGGGTCGGGGTCGGGGGGGGCGGCCTGCCCTGGGGCTGTGGGTCACGGGGGCTGACAGGGCTGCCCCCCCCC